TCCCAAATCTGTATATGCACACGTACTATCTCTCCTGAGCTCCAGGTACACATCTCTCAATTGCCTTTTGGATATTTTAAACTGGATATCCTACAGGGTTCTCAAACTCAACATGTATAAAACTGAACTAATCTTTTTCAAAAAGCCCAAATCTTCTGAACATTTTCTGTCAAAGACGTCATCATCCTTCCAGTTACCCTCACTCTCCCTCACCTCCACATATCCCTTTAGTTGCCAAATCGTCATTTCCCTCCACAGCTTTTCAAATCCCTTCTCTCTATTAATGTGGCTGCCACCCCACTTTAAGCCCATAACACCTTTCACCTCAACTATTCCAATAACTTCCTAATTGGTCTTCCTGCTTCATCTATCATCTCTCTCATTTATCCTGCACACAGCTGCCAAAACGACTTTCCTAAAGTGTATGTCTGACTAGTCACTACCCTATTTAGTAAACTCCAGTGACTCTAGGATTGAAATGAGGTCAATGCAATGGCAATAACCAACCACAGTTCGAAAGGACTCATAATGAAATAACCTATTCATCTCCAGATTGAGAGCTGATAGACTCGAAATGCAGATTGAAATATATTTTCTTTCTTTTTGGACAAAGCTAATGCAGGAATTTCTTTTGCTTGACTATACATATTTGAAATTTTTTTTTTATCTTCTCAGTGAGTGGAGGAGAGGGAGGGAATTTGGAACTGAAAATAAAAATGAATTGTTTCTCTGCTTACCTTTTAAGGTGCTTGACAAACCTAGGTCCAACCAACCTTTCCCACTTTAGTATACACTACTTCCCATCCCACATCCCAAAGTCCTACCTGGTTGGCCTCAATGTGCTTCACAGGGGACATTTTATTTCTCCCCTCACCACCCCTCACTTCTGAATCTTGGAATCCCATTTGCTTTAAAATTGCTCCAAGGGGCAGCTAGGCAGTGCAGGGGATAGAGCTCTGACCTTAGAGTCAGAAGGACCTGAGTTCAAATCTTGCCTCAGACACTTGACACTTTGTGACCCTGGGCAAGTCACTTAACCCCCATTGCCTAGCCAAAAACAAAAGCAAAAGCAAAACTGCTCCAGCTGTACCTTCTGCCTGAGGCCTTTGCTGACCGCCCAGCTCCCAGTGTTTTCCCTTAAATAATTACCTTGTATTTTCTTTGTACATAATTTGTATATACCTATTTCTGAGAGGCAGTGTTGCATAATACAGACCTGCTCTTAGAGCCAGGAAGACCTGGGTTCAAGTCCTATCTCTAAAGTAACTGTTTATTATTGCCCTGGGAAGGGCAGGTAGGTGACAGTGGAGAGAGCACTAGGCTTGGGAATCAGGAAGACTCATCTTCCTGACTTGAAATCCAGTCTCAGACACTTCCTAGCTATGTGATCCTGGGCAAGTCATTTAACCCTGTTTGCCTCAGTTTCCTCATCTGTAAAATGAGCTGGAGAAGGAAATGACAGGAAGGATCTTTACCAAGAAAACCCCACCAAGAGCCGGGACACAACTGAACAAGATTCTTCCAATTCTAACATTTTATGATCCTAAGTAGGGTATGAGGTTCAGATGAGATGATGGATATAAAGCACTTTGCAAACCTTAAAGCACTATGTCAATACCAGATGCTATTATTATTTTAATGATTATCCTCCAGTCACCAGGCCTTCAGACTGGTGACCACTTCATTCCCTGAAAGCCTTCTACTGCACTCCTGCTGAGCTCAAACCAATATTTATTTATAGAACTGTACAAGAGTGTGTTGATAACCCGCACTCCAGAAAAAAAAGAAAAATATATGCGCACACACATTTTAATATTTAATCCACATTATTAAAACTTATTAAAAGTCGAGATAATCAACAAAATAATAAACCAAGCCCTGATTTGTGGAGAGCTGTCGCAAGCACACCCCTGATTCTAAGCACAGTAGGGTAACTGATTTAAAGGGGCCCTGTGAGAAATCTTTTTGTAAACAGAACTATCATTTTATCATATGAATAACCCCTTCTAGGCAATCTTCCTAGCAAACTCAAATATCCATATATAACATCTATAGTGTTTCCTGGCACGGTAGATTAGGATTCAGTTTGTTTCTTCAGCTTCCTCCATGTTGGCAGGTTTGGGGGTTCGATGTTTGGGAAGAAAACTGAACTGAACCAAGCAAAAGATGGTTGCAAGGAAAGGGAAGTCACCCGTGGGAAGGACCTTAGAGGCTAAGAGGCAGAAGAACCGGTAACGGTGGGGTGTTAAAGTAACTGAGGCAGAGAATAATGAGGGCCAGCAGCAGGCTGGGATTTGGAGCAATGAGATACTAGGAGCGTAGTAGGAATTAGCAAAAACATGTTTATCATTGGATATGGGAAATGTCTATAGTGGAACATAAGATCCTTGAGAGACTGTTATCAGTTCTGTACTTGTATCCCGAGCACCTAGCGCGGCGCTTGGCTTAATGCCTGTTGATTGACTGGATGGAAAAAGGCGATGCAAGCAAAGTTCATTCTTAGTTTTCAGGAGGCAGGTGTTGGTCAAAGGGATTTCAACAATTAAACAGGAATTTGTTGGCACAGAAGCATGCTGTTACTGTGCTCATTTCAGGGACTCCTGCATCCCGCACCCTGGAGAAATCTCAGTATTTCCCCATAGGATCCCCCTATCACATTTTGCCCAGATGGAGTGTTTGTAGGTTAGCAATGGTCTCGAGGGCACTTGAGTAATTACATGTAAGTGAACACACACATCTTTTCGGAAATGTTTGAATGGCTGCAGGGTACGCTGGAAAATGCCGTCCCCGCCAAAACAAAGAAAGAAAGAAAAGAGTAGTGGAAGCAGAGGCAGCAGCAGGGAGTGGCAGAGGAGGAAACCCAGCAAAGTGTGCCTGATAGAACACCGATCCTGGAACCTGGAAGCCAATGACTGGCTCTGTGGCCCCTGGCAACTGATTTAACCTCTCTCAGCTTCAGTCTCCCCATCTGTAAAATGGGGTTAATAACCTCCACCTCCCAAGGTTGCCGTGAGGGGCACGTGAGGGGCCGTGGGCAAGTGACTCAATCGCTCGGCCTCAGTTTCCCATCTGTAACACGGGGATGATGAGAACAATACTCCCGCATCCCCCTCCTCCCCGCCCCCGCCCCCGCCCGGGTTGCTCCGAAGGTCAAACGCGGTAATAACGAGCTGCGCGTTTCATTACTCTCCCTGCTCTAGATCCCCGCCTTTCTGCGGAGGCCACGGGATTCGAACCCGTCGTTCGCAAGCTCCCGGGGGCCCGAGAAGCCCCCTTTGCACCACGTCACGCGGCGCTGGCGGGAGAGCGAGGGCTGCGCAGGCTGGTCGCGGAGGCCTTGAGCTAGCCGGACTGGGGTAAGGAGCGGCCGCGGGGAGGGAAGGAAAGCAAAGGGGGGAGGCGGAGCGAGGCGGCTCGGCGTGAGTGGGGATGCGGCCGCGGGCTGCACCTGCCGGCCCGACGCGAGGCGCCCAGGGCGGCTTCGGTATGTTGGCCGGCCCAGGAGCGCGGTTCCGGCTCCAGAGCCAGCGCCCTCGTGACTCCTCCCGGACCTGCGGGAGGCCCGGGCCCAGCGCACGTGCCACGCGAGATCTCCGCATGCGCCTCCGGGGCGGGGGAGGGGAGCAAAACCAGGAGAGGGCCAGCGTCGGGAGCGCCGCCTTGGGCTACGCGACCGAAGGCAAAGCAGTTTAAAGAGCTTTCTAGTGGGAACTGGAGCGTGTCGGAATCGTAACCTGCCCCACGCATGCATGAGTGCATACACGCAATCAAGAGTGGGAAGCGCAAATGCAATGGTACTTAGAACTACAACTCCCAGAATTCCACGGGAGCTTCCCGTTAGTACCGTCTCTAGGGTAGGTGCTGATTATGAGAATCCTTGTACGGGATAGGTTGAAAGCAAAGACTTGCTCCGGTGACCTCAACGGTGACGCGCCAATGAAAAAAAACCAATGAATATATCATTGAAGAACGTCTTCACCAGAAGCCCCAGTGGCCTAATGGATAAGGCATTGGCCTCCTAAGCCAGGGATTGTGGGTTCGAGTCCCATCTGGGGTGAACGATTTTGTGTTTTTAAGAAATCTCAATTTTATAGATGACTTATTTTCTTGTAGAAAAATAAATTGTGGATTCGAACCCAGCATCACGGGTTATCAGATTAGCACATACCATCCCCCAAACCCGAAAGGGTACTCGCTTGTAGAACTTCCTTGTCTGGCACAAATTGTCTTTTGGGGGTCGTTTCGACCCTTTCCACTCACAGACGTTATTTCCCTCACGCACACTTCCAAGCTGGCCTTTTAGCAGTTCGTCACACACGGGTCAATCCGCCTTCTGAGTGTGTGCCCTTGCATACCCAGGCCGTCCGTCGTGCTTGCCGTCCCCTCTCTCCTCACCCCGGGGTCTTTGGATCCCTAGGTTCCTTTAAAGCTTACCTCCATCGCCACCTCGCCTTGCCCTTGCCCACGCTCCCACTCCCGTCTCTTTCTTTTGTATATCTCCCGCGTATACATATGTAAGTGTGTATGTTTTCTCCTCCGCTAGAATGTAACCTCCTGGAGGGCAAGATCTTTCATCCTTAGCACCCAGCGCAGTAAGCAGATCGCAGACGCTGGCTCAGGATCTACATTAAAATGCCCCGAGGTTTTGCTTAATCGATGGTGAAATGCAGGCTCCACCCTCTCAGCTTCTTCCGTGACACGGATTCTGGATGTTGGAGAAAAGAGGTCGGGGGAAAAAGCCCGTGACCTGCCTTTCCCTGGAGGTGCATCCCTGATCTAGGTGGAGGTCAAAGAGACGCAGGAGGCCCGTGGACACTCGGCTTTTGTTTGCTTTTCCTTTCTGCGCTCGATTGCGTGACCTGGAATGCTGGGGCTGGAGGGGATCGTTGGGGGGGTCCCGACTGGGCCGCGGGACGTGGGGCGACAGAGCCTCTTCAGGCTCGTCGCCAGCGGAGGGCGCTGACGCCGCCCCTCGTCGGCCGCCGTCCTCAGCCGGGGCCTGCTCCCAGAGCCTCAGCACCAGCACCAAGATGGTGGCCCTGGGCCCGCCGGCCCGCACGCTGCGGGCCCTCCTGCGGGAACTGCGGTACTTGAGCGCGGCCACAGAACGGCCCTACAGGGACACAGCAGCCTATCGGTACCTCGTGGAGGCCTTCCGGGCGCACCGGGTACGGACCCCCGCGGCCGCGGAGATGGGGGCGGGGACTGCCTGCGGGGGGTGGGGTAGGGAGAGGGAGGCGGAGAGGGAGAAGCCTCGGGGGAGAGCCGGGATCCCAGGCCCGCGCGCCGCCACTTGTCGGGATGCTAATGTTGGCGCTCCTGGACTAGCGTCGTCGGGACGGGACCCGACTCGGGATTCCGTCGGTAGAGCCTTGATATTCGCGGGCCCGGGGCAGGCCCATCGGCGCCACACGCACCCCTTTAGAGCGCCGTGGGGTCGTGACCTCCGTCAGATGAGGTCATGTTACCGATGGGTAAACTGAGACCCCGAGTGGGGGCGTCACAGCAGCGCTTGCTGGAGCTCCTGGGGCAAGTCTGCAAAGCCAGAGGTTGACAGTGTGCCCGAGAGGTCATTATTCGGTCACCGCCAGGTGATAGGGCTCCAGGCAGATGTGCCGGGAGGTTTAGGACTTCTGAAACAGACCTGCACTAAGTGCCACAGCAGTTGGGTGGCCACTGTTTCAGAACACACAGCCCGCACGTGGCCCGTGGTGAAAATAGGGCTATTATTATTATTACTGCAGCTTTTCAAATGGGGGATCTGATGAGGCACGAATAGGTGGTCTTTTGTGCTGTCTGGAGGCAAGATTTATTGACATTTGTGGAAACAGCTGTGGTGGTGATTGAAAATTGTTACTGAGATATCTCGGATTCTTTTTTTTTTTTTTGTGAGGCAGTCGTGGTTAAGTGACTTGCCCAGGGTCACACAGCTGAGAAGTATTGTGTGTCTGAGGTCACATTTGAACTCAGGTCCTCCTAGCTGCCCCAGTATCTCGAATTCTTAATACAGATTCCAGGGACCTTCCCATGGTGGCTGGGGAACTGGGAATTATGAAGAAAGAATTTGCAACTCTTAGGCAACCAAAACCAAGAGCTTATTCAAAGAGGGGAATAATCAATCAAGGGACAAGCCCACAGGTTCTTTTGTTATCCTTTCCGGTGTCGGGGGATCACAAGGAAGGCCCCACTATGTTGTGTGGACCCCCTGTGGTGAATTTAAGAGAGCACAAAACAGGTATGGGCAGGTGTAGAAAAGCGATTATCTGCAACCAGGGAGGGAAGTTTTGGAATATCTCACTAGTTGACTATAAGCTTCTTGAGGTTAGGGACTGTTTTTCATTTTGTCGATATCCTCAGTGTTGAGAATGGTGTCTTGGAACAGAGAGGTGCTTAATGCTTATTAGACTGGACTGAATTAGAACAAGGTAGTTAAGATCCTCTTCCAGTCTCATTTTCTCTGTACCTTCTCCTATACCTGATTTAGCTAGGAATTCTTGCCTTTCCTCTAGTTTTTATGCAGTTTTTTTTTTCTGTTAGGTTCTTTTTAACCATGTTGAGACTTGTTCTTGAACCTATTACTGATCTTACTCCATTTTCCCTATGCAAGATGGTAAATTTAGAAGTAGAATTTGTTCTTTCTTGTATTACTCTAAAATAGGATTCTTAGTACTTCAAATCCTGTTATTTTATCTTGTATAGTTGTTATTCCTGTAAGCTCTTATTGTAGGGTTTGAACCACATACATGTAGATAGGTCTACATATAAATTTATATAAACACAAAATCATCAAAATTGGTTATTTAGTTGAAATTTATACTGTACTCTAAACACTATATTCCTTAGTGTTAACCAGAAACTGAAAGCCCTAATTGCAGTCTTTTGGGCAGTAAGTTCCTTTATTCTAGCAAATTTGGTGTGGTTATAGTACAGAAAGCTCAGGCTAGCATGGGAGTCTGTTTTTAAAAATATTTTGACAACTCTTTCAGTATAATTGGTTTCCTTTGTAATCCTATATTTTATTTTATTCATTTAAAAACATTTTCTGAGAAGGGGTACGTAGACTTCACCAGACTGCCCAAGAGCATCATGACACACAAAAGGGTTCAGGACCCTTGGTTAGGATCTTTTGACCTCAGATTCCAAATTCTGACTCTGAATTCTCAACTCTGAATAAAATTTCAAACAGTGACTGATAACAACAGGTAGCATTTATGAAGCACCTTAAGGCTTGCAAAGTGTTTTATATATGTTACCTCCTTTAAAAAGGAAAAGTCTTTAGTGATATAGATATTTGACAGCAGTGTCCAAAAAAAAAAACAACTGTCAGGGGGGAACAGTAATCCTCTTTCCTTTTCTTGCTCTAATCAATCCCCCCTCCCCACTCAAGCTTTAGTCACTGGGCATAGTCAAGCCCTGATGATATGAGTTACATGAAATATAATGAAGACTTAAGCTTTATAATTTCTGCTGTAAAATTTTCTTTTAACTTTTATTTATATCTTTTGCTTTTACATTATTTTGTTTCCATATCCATCCCTTCTCCGACTTCATGAACCATTCCTTATAAGAAAAAAGGGGAGAAAAGCACTTTGGCAAAACTGACCAGTGAATTTTACTGTGTCTGACAGTATAGTTTTTAAGGGATGTGTGGTTTTTAAGAACCTAACAGAAAAAAAAAACTGCATAAAAACTAGAGGGAAGGCAAGAATTCCTAGCTGAATCAGGTATAGGAGAAGGTACAGAGAAAATGACTGGAAGAGGAATCTTAACTACCTGTTAACATTTTGTTCTAATTCAATCCAGTCTAATAAGCATTAAGCACCTCTCTGTTCCAAGACACCATTCTCAACACTGAGGATATTGACAAAATGAAAAACAGTCCCTAATTTCTGGAGAGCTCAAAAGTCAAAATGCTATTAGTATATCAGTGAAATCTGAGAACATAAGAATATAGGGACCTGAGGGCATATATGCAAGCTGTGTACTTTTTTCTGAGTACTTTTTCCCATTATGTCGTTGGAGAAATGGCCTTCAATGTGTGTTTTCAGGTTAAAAAAAATGTCCTTGTTTAGCACTGAAAAGGCATAAGGTTATATGTCATATTTAACAATGAAATCTATGGAAACAATTAAGGAAAAGTATTTTCTTTAAAGTGGGAATAGATTTCTTTGTCACTTCTTAATTTGGTGTCCTTTAGGAGGCAGCATAGAATAGTGGCAGCAGCTTTGGATTTGGAATCAAGAGAACTTCATTTTGCCCCAAAACTACATTTTTTACCTTGGACAAGTTATTTAACAAATGTAGGCCTTAGTTTCCACATTTGCAAAATGACAAACTCAGATTAAATGATTTTCTGAGATGTCTTCAAACCTAAAATTCTATGAAACTGGTACAAAAAGTTCACTTTTATTTCTAGTGTGAATGGAATTTTTTAAGTTAGGAATTAGCCTAATATTTTAGCAAACATAATCTTCAGTATTGAGTATCTATCTAGTACCATACTGTGTTAGACTGTGTAGAGATGTTTTAGTGTATGCATGTCAACAGTCATCATGATGAATTTAAGCATATCTTCAAAATACTTTTGTCTTAGAATATGGATATGCATTGTCAACATATTGCAAAAATTATGTTATATTTCAGACACAGTGAAGATATTTAATGTTATGGATACATTTCATCAGTGTAATAGTGAAAATTTTACTTAATTCCCCTTTGTAATTTGTAGGTTTTAAATGTTTTCATCCATTCCACAGTTTGCCTTTGATCCTGAATAATAAGTTTATTTACATTAAATTGAGTTATATTCTTCTCTGTGGAGTTTTCTGATAACTGACCATACCACCTTTTCTAGGTCACCAGTGAGAAGCTCTGTAGAGCTCAACATGAGCTACACTTCCAAGCTGCTACCTATCTTTGTCTTCTTCGAAGTACTCGGAACCATGTGGCCCTTCACCAGGAATTTCATGGGAAGGGTGAACGTTCTGTGCAAGAGGCTGCTGGTGTGGTGGGTCTCAAGTTGCCCCAACAGCCTGGAGGGAAGGGCTGGGAGTCTTGAGAACAAAAAGGTTCACTGGATGCTGCCTTCATACAAGAACTTCACAATTATCTCTGTTTTCTAACTTGTATTGATGATTAAATTTGAAATGTGTTCACAAAAATTACTTATATGTAGTTTTATTTTCTGAATGATTCTCAGATCAGTGAGAAGTTTCTATTTCATTATCAATGAATGCACTGCTCTTGTCCTAATGTGATGCTTCTTGACCTACTTTGAGTTGTCTTAACAATAACAGGGATAAAAATTTACACAGATATGTCATCATCTCACTGGACAAACCTTGCCTTTGGCAGTTTTTGAAACTGCTGTCTGGGGTTAAGGATGCAGGCTAACTGAGCCATGGAGAGATCAGTCCATTGCCTTGGCTTTAGCAGGATTAAGATAACTGCCCATCAGAAGGTAAAAAACCCAGAACATTCCAGAATTTTTTATGTTGGACAGTCTAGTATTTGACAATTCTCGACATTTTGGGTATATAAATCTGGCATTTTGAGTACACAGTGTGAAGAATGTAGGCTTTTCATATTTAGCATACTCTGTATAGGGATCTGTTCACCTTTGTTAGGTACTTGTTCAACTAGTGTACCCTGCTAAAGTCATCATATATAATAGATTTTTGATGACTTGGGACTAGTACATTCTGACTAAGTCCTTAAGTCCTTAATTTGGGGTCCTAGAACTTGTTTTAAAATTTTTTTTGATGTCTGCATTTTAATTTATTTTTCTTGTGATCTTACGTACTTTATACATTTAAAAACATTATCTTTAGGTGTCCATAGGTTTCACCAGACTCAAATGATACAACAAAAAAAGTTAACCCTTTATTTAGAAACAAAATTATTATAAGGTATAAACTCTGCCTTCCAAAAAGCTTAAGATTCCAGTCACAAAGACAAACAAAGAATGTTCATTTTTTTTTTTGTTTTTTGTTTTTTAGTGAGGCAGTCGGGGTTAAGTGACTTGCCCAAGGTCACACAGCTAGTACGTATCAAGTGTTTGGTCTGAGGCCGGATTTGAACTCAGGTCCTCCTGACTCCAGGACCAGTGCTCTATCCACTTCACCACCTAGCTGCCCAAGATGTGCCGTTTCTCTCCTCACCCCTACCCTCAAATTTTAGCTCATGCTGTACCAAGTTCACTTTGCTTTATCATATTGCTTCAAGTTTCACTCTCTATTAACCAGCATCCTCTTCAAAGAGTAATAGTAGTGAGCATTTATAGAGTGCTTTAAGGTTTACAAAGTGATGTCATCTTGTTTGAACTTTACAACGGTTCTGTAAGACAGTTTCTATTAGCCCTGTTTTACAGACGATGAAAATGAGGCTTGAGAGAGGTAACTTGTCAAGATCTGAACTCAAGTCTTCCTCACACCAAATCCAATGCTTTTAACCACTGCACTACCTAGCTGCAAATTTCTCCAGAATCTATCACTTAGTCATGTACTAGTATGAATTAGTCTAATTAGATAACTAATGCTTAACAGAGATCACCCTAGTTATTATGATATCAAGAGTTTTTATTTCAGGAAGAGTAAAGTAATTCTGGGATATAAAATACTTTGAGAACATAGACTATGCTGTGATGATCAGTTCGGGATTTAAGGCAATATAATGGCACTCTATCTGGATAAGAGGTATAGAAAGAAGTGGAAGGATGCCGAAAGCAAACATCTATTTCAAAATTTTGCCTAGTATTGGCCCTACTGGGAAACTTCCTTTTCCTATAACTTTCTGTAATACGTGGTCCCCTGCTCCAAGGACCCCAATCATTTAATGTTTTTTTTTTCAATTAAATTTTTCAATTTAAAAAAAACCTTTTTTTTCAACTTCTCCCCTTCCATTGAGGAAAAAAAAGAGAAAGAAAACCCTTATAATATTCAAAGCATATGTCAAGCAAAACAAAGTCCTTTATTAAACATGTCCAAAATATGTTGGTTTTTTTTTTTAATTTTAAACTGCAGCCTCAATTAATGGATTGTTTCTAATCCTTGCCTTTAGGTTTTTATTTGCCTTAATAGGATGAGTATCAGCCTTTTTTCCTAATTGTATGGAAAGGAAATTGTGAAAAAGGTCTCCAAAGTCAGAAAAACAGACAGTTGTTAGGAGGGTTAGGATGAAAGCTTTGACAGCCTGGACTTTCACTTTTGTCTTTGTATCCCCAGTTCCTGACACACAGTGGGCACATAAAAGTTTGTTGACTGGGGGCAGCTAGGTGGCGAAGTAGAGAGAGCTAGGGCCTGGAGTCAGGAGGACCTGACTTCAAATCCAGCCTCAGACCAGACACCTGACACTAGGTGTGTGACCCTGGGTAAGTCACTTAACCCCAATTGCCTCACCCCCCAAAAAAGAAAGAAAGAAAGAAAGGTTTGTTGACTGAGTTAAAGCAAGGGGCGAAAGAGAAAACTAAAATGAAAGAATTAAGTGCTCAATAGTCCGAGGTCCTTTAGCAGAGGTGCAAATAGCTTTATGTGATGCCTCAGGACAAGCCAAGTGCATCACCATTAGAGCTGAGTACAGAAACTGATGTTCATATTGATGGCCCTATGTAATTATGAAATGACTAAATTGTGTCAAATATATTATTAAAGGCAGGGAAATATGTACATTTTAGAGGATTTGTCTGAAATGATTTTTGACACTTAAAAGGGTGAGCTATAGCTCTCTGGAAAATACTTGATGACATAGTTCTTTGCCGCAATGAGGCAAAGTGTAATCAGAGAGGAAATTAACAGATATACTGGACATACACCATAGTCAAAAAGAAAAAAGAAACTGATCCACTGTTAGGTAATTGGAGAAATTCTTGTGGAGAAGCTAGGATTTAAATTGGGCCTTAAAGGATGGATAAAATTTGCCTAAGTGGAAGAAAGAAAGAAGATGGGCAGAACAGGTAGAATAGACAGCATAAATAAAAACATGCTTTTGGCACGACGACACTGTTTTGAATGTACTGAAAGATTCATACTGGAAAGGAATGACAGATAAAAGTAGATGGGTATAGGAGGAGGCTAGATTGTATGTTTAAGAAAGATCAGTCTCCGTGGAGAGGAGAAAGAGCTAAGAGGCAAGGAAACCACATGGGAGTGGAGGGGAGAGCTGAAGGTGGGATGGTGGCTATAAGAGCAGAAGAAAAAAAACAACCAAATTTAGTGACAAATTGGATATAGAGTAGAAGATGAAAGAGAGCAGGAAGTGAAAGGTGACTAAGGTTTCTGGATTGAAAGCCTAGAGGAATGGTTTCACTGTTCGATGAAATGAAGATAGAATTTGTAGGCAAAGGTAATGAGTTCAGTTTTGCACATGGGATCATAAAAGTAGAGCTGAACTGTAAATAGTTGGAAATTTCATGGATATAGTAAGAACACAGAGTGCTATAAGCCCTGGATAAAATCAGAAAATGGCCCTCCCTGAAAGTGAAATGTGTAAATATTAAGTATATGAGATTATAACTTTTTTAATGTTGGATTTTATTTAAAATAGTGTTTTATTTTTCCTAATTGCATATCTTTAAATGTATAACTTTCTACAATTTTTAACATTCATTTTTTAAAAATTTTGAGCTTCAAATTTTTCTCCCTCCCTTCCCTTCACCCTCCCTAAAATGGTAAGCAACTTGATAATGTGCAATCATGAAAAACATATTTCCATATTAGTCACATTTTGCAAAAGAAGAAACAGATCAAAAGGAAAAAAAAAACATGAAAAAAATGAAGTAAAAATAGTATGCTTTGATTTTCATTCAGACACTATCAGTTCTTTATCAGTTTATGTAAGTCCAGGTTTTTCTGAAATCCACCTACTTATCATTTCTTATAGCATAATAGTATTCCATTATATTCATATACCACAACTTGTTCAGCCATTCCCCAATTAATGAGTATCCCCTCAATTTCCATTTTTTGCCACCACAAAAAGAGCTGCTATAAATATTGTTTGTACCTGTAGGTCCTTTTCCCTTTTTTATGATCTCTTTGGGATACAGACCTAGTAGTGGTATTGTTGGATCAAAGGATATGCACAGTTTGATAGCCTGTTGGGTATAGTTCCATATTTTTCTCCAGAAGGATTGGATGAGCTCACAACTCCACCAACAGTGCATTAGTGTCCCAGTTTCCCCATATCCTCTCCAATATTTATCATTTTCCTTTTCTGTCATATTAGCCAATCTGATAGGTGTAAGGTATGATATTATTTTTCTACAAAGTAATCTACCACATTAGATGTTTTTTAAATGCATTGCTAAGACTAAGGTACCTTCCTCAGATGTCTTCAGAAAGACATGAATCAACATAAAATACAATAATCTATAATCCAATTAATTATAACCGGTCTTCATGTGCTAATATGATAATATTGGTGGTCATCATGGAATCTAGAAAAGGGATATTTGGGGCAGTTAGATGGCACAGTGGATAGAGCTTTGGCCCTGGAGTCAGGAGGACCTCAGTTCAAATCCGACCTCAGACACTTGACACTTAGTAGCTGTGTGACCCTGGGCAAGTCACTTAATCCTGATTGCCTCACCAAAAAGCAAAGAAAAAAAAAAGGGATAGTTGAAGAGTAAGAATTTGTTACTGTGTTTGAAGTGATATTCAGAGAGACAGCATGCTAATTATAGTCAACATCATGTTTCTTTAGACAAAAACATCCCTAGAGTAATGAATTCATTATGAAATTGGTAATATAATTTATATTTGTGTATGTATGGCTACAAGTTATTTTCACATATATTACCTCACTTCTCATAACAACTCTGTGAAGTAGGCAAGGTATTATAATCCCCTTTTCACAGATTAGAAAAAAGTTGAGGTCCAGATAAGTGACTTTTTCAGTTACATAGCTAATAAATGAGGGAGTTAGGATTGGAACCTCAATCTTCTAACTTCCAGGTCAGTCCGGTGTGCTTTCTAGTATATGCCATTAAGTATAACGTAAGCCATTTTAGCTTATCTATGAAGAACATCAAACTCTTTGTTATAACTCTATTCATCAAACAGCCTTCTGCTATATAATTTTCCCTAATGGGTGTACTTCCCATTAGAAGGGGAGTGTACATGATTAATCCTGGTTCTTAGGACAGGTATATATATTTTTTAAATTT